TGAATCGAAAATGGGTTTGCAAAAACCCTGGGACGTCATCAAAAAGCACAATCGTAAAAACCAACTAACATTTTCCTTCCTTTCAACACGAGGGAAGCATCTTACAGAGCCCATACAACCATGCAATAATCGGGTTGGAGTTTCGAGGGATCAACCCGCGACTCAGGTTCAGCAGACCAGATCGACAAAAATCCGAGGTGCTTGACTCTTTCGAGGCTGCCCCATAGACTCTCTGCAGATGTCATGCAGTATAAGGCAGATGGCATGCACAGTGTATTCAGAACGAAAACACTCTTGCATTCTCGAACAAAATCCCGTCGAGTTCTGGGTCTAACAAAAACAAAATTCACATATAAGCATTTTCCCTTCTGTGCATACATTCACTGTGGAAGGTGCGAAAATGACAATGGGGCATCACTCCCTCCACAAATCGGAAGCAAATCGGGGGATAGTACATACGCATCCACCATTCACAAGACAACAGGATTGAATTCCTTTGCATCGAGGGATCACCCAGGAAACTAATGGAAGAGTTCCAGAAAAAGTTCTTCTGCGCGGGAAATCACAAGGATCGTGTTTTTTTTCTCCTCCTTCGTTTCTTCGTCTTCTTCTTCTGTTTCGCCTTAAAGTTGTCATTCTTCTTCTTAATCGTTTTTTCTTTTCTTCCTGTTATTCTTCTTTTTTTTCTCCTTATTATTCTTCATCGTTTCTTATTTTTCTTCCACTCTTTCTTATTCTTCTTCTTTTTTTTAATCATAATTTTCTTCTTTTTCTTCTTCTTCGGTTCTTCTTTTTCATCTTCTTCTTCTTTTTCTTCTTTTCTTTCTTCTTGTTCTCCGTTCCCCTCTTCTTCCTTCCTGTTTGCTTCATCAACGAATCAACATCTTTTTTTTTTTTTTCAACGGTTCGGCTCTGTTCCTCATAGTCGCCGCCCCTCCTCCATAGCTTCCCTTCCCCTTCCTCCTCCCTCCACAGGCTCCCTCGCTCCTGCGCCCCCTTCCCACCCCCCCTACCCCTCCCAACACACAGAGACTAACATGTCTGAAAAGAAGAAACGAGGCCGGATTTTGGCTATACTCGGAAAGCGCAGCAAGGTCCTCCCGACTCCTCCGAACGAAAAAAATAAAATAAAAATTCAGCGTGTTTTTTTCATGCCCGGGGTACCCTGGGTGAGGTACCTGCCCGGGCGGGGCGCCCAGGCCGCCCACCCAAGCGGCGCAAGAAAGCTACGTTTGTAGCATTTTTTCCCTGTTTTATGATCCTACTGTTTTGAATGCTTTAATGTCGAAACGGGTGTTACACCGTTGAGTTTTTTTAAATAAACGGTGACTCACTGACTCGTGGGAGGAAGCAGAACGCCTTGTTCTTTGTCTTTTTCTCATTTTGGAAGCTAAGTGCACGATAAAGCACCAGTTTCTTTCAATTTTGCAAGTGTCTCTCTACTTTCTCTTTTTTGGTCCACTTCTTCACTTAAGCTACCACTCCGTTAATGCTCTCTCTCTCTCTTGCCCTTTCTATGAATGATTGGATAACGTTATGTCTTCCCCATCTCTGATTATACCCACATCCCCATCTTGATCGTCTCTTTAAGTCCGATCAGGTATCGCGAGAGCGAGCATCATGGAACTAAATAAGAAATGAGCGAGGTTTGTGGTGTGTGATGTGTTCGGACGCATCAGTGTCTAATAGCTCAGGTCATATCTTTGAGTCGTCCGATACGCTACATTGTGCTATAATTTTTGTATGTATCTGAATGTACATTGTGTGTTGATGCTTTCCTGATGCTGCATCCTCCATTTGAGTCCTTTTCAAAGTTTTCATTACTTTGCGGAACCTTGGCTCCATAAACTACGATTTCGTCAAAACGGACATTTTTTATTTTTTGAACGAAATTGAAACTCATATTTTTTGCCTTTTTTTTCATATTTTGTGTAATTTTGAGCTACGAAAAAGGGGGGTTAGGGGTGAGGGGCCAGGGGTCAGGGGTCAGGGGTCAGGGGTAAGGGGTAAGGGGTAAGGGGTAAGGGGTAAGGGGT